GATCAACGGTATTGTCAGAGCTTGACTCTGGAAGTTTAAGAGTTTGCTTGCAACTTGCATTATCAGATGTTGCTTTCAGCATGCTTCTTTCAAACCTTTGCTTCAGCTAGCTTTATCAAAGGTTGCTTAAGATTGCTTTTCATCAGAGTTTGCCTTGGAGTGCTTCCTTCAGAGTTTTCTTCAGACTTACGTAGAATGATGTTTCACTTTTGAGAAGCTTGAGTTAGAACATCATATGAATTAGAAAACATGCACATCAGAGTATAAAGTATATTATACAGAATTTATTTCATTGTTATCATCAAAACCCTAATATATGATTAGAACCAAACTTTGTTCTAACAGCACAGACTCTTCTCATTGGCTGACTTGAAGTGGTTTTCCACCTCTATTAATTGTAAATTAGGGGATGGAAAAGAGATCAATTTCTATAAATTTAAACAGTTGGGAGCAATGCCTCTGTGTTTTCATGCACTATTATAAATAATACATTTCATGATAAAACTTTCACCTCAGCCAAAGAAAAAATCTAGGTATAATGCCAAGGCGCGCCATCTTTTATTGTTTATAAAAATCAAAAACCACATATTCCCACAACTTTTAATAAAATTGAGGGGAAAAACAACTTAGGACAATATAAGTGTAAATTAAATGATATAAACTTTCGTTTTTCGATTTAACCGAGAGATAAATTAATCAAATTTTACTATAAAAGCACTCGTTAAACATATTGTACCTTAATACTTACTTATAAGAAGTCGCCATAAACTCGCATGCATTATTCTTTGGGATGAATTGCAAGACATAAAAAATCTTCAATGTTCTTCTATATTGAATAAAATATTTTTTGCCCTTGCAATCTATCTCACATAATAGTGTTGATGTTGTTGTTGTATTTTTGGAACAACCCTCGGTTAAAGAAGAGAGCTCAACCATTGAAAAGTACTCAGTTGATAAATAATGTAATTTCAAAAAAAAAATTATTCACCTCGGTTTTTGTCATAGTCGACGTGATGGTTAAGCGTTTTTTGGATATTCACAGACCGTAAAATAAGAAGATAATTTACCTCAGTTTTCTTATAAAACCGAGGGGTAAAAAAATCATATTTTACCCATAATACTATTTATATGTAGCCGCCTTAAAGAGAGGAATTATTTACCACCGTCATTTCATGAGTTACTGCTAAAAAAAATCTTTTAGGCTGGATTTTCCATGAAAAAATCTGGTCTAGAAACGCTCAAGAACTTGAAAAATAGATCTCTGAGATGGATTGCAAGCGCGGAAAATAACATTTTTCATGGTGAAAACAAATAACTTCTCAAAAGTTGGATAACTTATGGAGGTTTTTTGGGGGAACAAAGGGTATGCAATCAAATTTGGATATCAACGAAGATTTGTTGTAAATAGTGTATTTTAATATTCTGTGTAAACAATATAATACAAAAAAAAGCTTATTCACCTCGATTTTTGATTTGAGCCGAAGGATATGTTAAGCATTTTTTTTTTGAGAATTTCCATCGACCTTAAACAAATATTTATCGTACATTTAATGATTATCAATGCTCAAGACTCTATCATTAATTATATGTGTGAAACCTAGAGTCATCCATTATAAAAGCAATGTTAAATATTAACATTTATAACCTAAATGAAACATGAACGTTTGAAACCTAAAGACGTTTGAAAAAGTTACAAAAGCAGAAAATTATCTGGGTTTAAGGTTTGTTTTTTTAAATATTTATTTGAGGAAAAAATCATAAATTTAAATATTAATTTTAATTATCTTATCCTATTTTTTCATCAGAAACAAATGCACGTAAGATTCGTAGAGAATAATCTTGCATCCAACATTTGATCTTCTCCAAGATTCAATAATTCGAAGATCTAAAATTTAGATATTCAAGAAATTTGATTTTTATCCAGATCCTTAAGAAATTTGATTTTGATTTTAATATTTTATGTAAATAGTATAATATTCTAGATAAATAATGTAATTTTTTTTTAAAAGAAATAATCTTACCCCTATGTTTTTTAGATAAACTGAAAGAAAAAATACGTTAGCTTTGAAAATAATAAAAATTTTGTTGTTGGGATTCGAACTCACATGCATATAATTTTATCCTTCGAGTTTTAAATCACCTAGATATTAAGTGATAACTTTTTTATATGATACCTTTTGTTATCTCGATTTTTTAACCGAGATTAAATATATTTCACGTTGGAGCAAAACTTGTTCGCAAAAGCTATCAATTCTGAAGTCAAAGTCGTAGTTTCGATACACATCTATTTTTAAATTGCATAATCAGTTTAATGGTTTGGAAGAAGCTATTAGCTTGGCGACATTTAGAACTTTCTGTTATACTCATTCTAATATATTCTTTTTGTTTATAAATTGTTTATAACGAATAACATTTTTTAATATAGAAAGAGTAATATTTATTAAGAAAACTATTGGATAAGAGATTAGCATGGCAAAGAAACAAGCATACAAGCTAGTACACATGGTTGGCCTGAATTCACACAAAGATTCTGGTGATGATAGAGGGATGTTGAACAGTTACCCATTATTAATGCACATATGGAGTCAGTTGCTGAAATTGTGCCTCAGTAATTGCATTGCAGGCCCATGAGAAAGTGATTTCGCAACAGTTCCCTTCTCCCCTTGCCTTCATTTCTTACTTATATTATCCATTGTCACTTTTTTCATCACCATACCTCAAATGGTTAAGAAAAGAAACCCTACAAGAAAAATATCATGCTTTTTAGCATACCCAAAAACAACATTAAAAATTGGCACTATTATGTATTTAGTATTATTTCATGGAAAGAATATCTCATTTGCTTTGAAACGTTTATAAAAAATTTGGCTTCAGCTCAAGGATTTGGTAGGGTAATAAAAAGACAAGTCTTAGATCTAAAATTTTTGATTATGCCTATAAAAAAATTATATGTTTTGAAAAGTGATTTAATGGATATATACTAATAATATAAAATACTTTTACACCGTCATTTAATAGAAAGTTATAAATTTATTATATTATTAAAAAAAAATTAATAAAAATATAATTTAATTAAGTACATGATAATAATTGATTGACGATATAAAAATATTTTACATTATGAATGTATCAACCCATTTTCTTTTTGAAAAAACTAAACATTTTTTAATGTCTTTTTTTAAGTAACGTCTCTTGACTCTAAAAATAATCAAAGCATCTATTTAATAATATTACTTAAGAAAAATGTTATTCTTACACTAATATTATACATCTATACTGTATTTTACTGATTACCAATACAATGAACAATATAATATTATAATAATAAATTATTTTTTATAAAAAATAAAAAATAATTATTTTAAATAATATTTTATGTTTTTTTAGATTATATGATTAACCAACTTAATAATTTTATTACTTACTAATATTTTAAATTTTATTAATTAACTTCATAATTATTAAAAATCTGAACGTTTATTAACCAATTTCAAAACTTCATTAACCAAAATTTTATATTATATTAATCAATTTTGTTTTACAATTAAAAATTATTTTTAATATTTAAGTATTTACTAATCACCTTCATCACTTCATTAATCAGTTTTTTATATTTCATTAACAAACTTTATTTTACTATTAAATTATTTTTAATATGTAGGTGTTTATTAATCAATTTTATCACTTTATTAACTAATTTTTTATATTTTATTAACTAATTTTGTTGTGTTATTCATGTACTGTTTAGGAACATTGTGCACAATCAATATTCACAGTATTATTCACATTACTGTTCAAAATAAAATAAAAATTTAAAAATTATTATTTACCATAAAAATACAGTGAAGAGTGTTTGATGTCAATATTAAGTATTCAAAAGTAGTATCACAAAATAGCAATGCTGATTACTTAAAGAGGTGAGAGTATGTATAGAAAATCAGTGGTTTCATATTAAATTAGTATTAATGGGTAATTAAAAATAATACTAGGAAATTGAAAAAATATTAATACTTCACATATATCCTTCTCACATTATCAGTTGTTTTCAAAAAAATTATTTTTCTATAAATTATTTTACCGTTCTATTAAAACATTAGTGTATATATTTTATTATATGCTTCACCATTTATTACTCTCTTTTGTTCCATTAAAAAAATATTGTGTCATTAATAAAGAATAGTTTCATAAATTTTATTATATAATAAAATAGTTATATTTTTAAAGTTGTGTGAAATGATCAAAACATTATACTCTTCTAGTTTTAAGTTATATGACGTTTTATAACATATCAAAAAGAAATTATAAAAATTAAAAGAAAAAATGTAATAAATAATAGAGGATAAAATAAAATATAAAAAATTAATATTTGATAGTATAACTTGACTTATAATTCAAAAATATACTTTTTATAAAATAACTTACGACAAAAGGAGTTAAACTTGAATAATTTTGGTACACTAAAAGAAAACTATTTAGGTATTTATTTAACATTAAAAAAAATAGTGTGTTTAATTCAACAATGATATTGTGATTACAAACAAATATTGGAATTTGTTAGTTGATAATAAGAATATTCTTTCAAACTAAATTGGTGTTAACCAAGGTGAGATTGGTTAAGTCATATAATATCTCTCTTTCAACTGTTTTGATGAGTATCATATTCCAACTTCTAAGTAACAAAGAATGTCTAAGACTAGTACTGTTAACCATAGTATATATAAAAGAAAAAGCCATGATAAGTATTTATGATAAGAACATTAAAAATAATGAAATAAATTAGACTCTCTGATTATTAATTTTTGAAAAGGGTTCCCATGTGGGTAACAAAAAGGGTGACATCATTAGCAACAGAAATGACGCAATCTCCTTACACAGTCACCAAACTAAAGCAACTATCCTTTCTATTTGCCTCTGAATGACTTCTCATTTATGTTGGACCACACCTATATTCAGCAACTTCCGTGGAAAAATCTGCAACTTTTTTTGGACTCATTTCAAGATCATGTAGCACCTACTCCAAGGAAGTCAAAAAATTGAGGAGTTTCAACAGCTTCATGTGTGTCATCAATCACAACTTTTCCACTGTTTTCTGTGTTGTTATGAGGTGTTGATGATGCTAAGGAATTTGAGAAACGGTTGAAATTGTGATTGTTTTGTTGTTGGTGTTGTTGTTGTTGTTGCATTGACATGAGATATTGTTGTTGAGGATAATGATGGTGGAAACTTGATATTTGCTGTTGATGTTCATTATTAGTCCCATCCCAATATCTTATCTGATTCAATGATTCTTCCACCATTTCATTGCTTCTACTACCTTTAAATCCAATCCAATTAAACATGTTAAACTACAAACAAACATTCACCCTTCTTTCACAATAATTATAAACTAAAATAACTATTTTCACATAGATTAACAAAGTTAGTTAAATATAATTAATTTTCTTTATTTCATGTCTAATCAAAATAAAATGATCTAAAAATTAATATCTTGACTAAAATTTAAAGTTTTTTTTTATTTTTTTATAATAGTGACCAGATGAAGTACTTATATAAAAAATTATAGTGTACCCAGGGTAGTGGATCCTCTAACTTTAGTGCAAGAACTTCACTGTGACTTTCTCTTTAAAAATGCAATCTCTTTCATCTTATTTTCCTCTTTTTCTCATCTGTTTCTCACTTCTCTAGTATAAAAAATACCTAAAGTTAGGGGATCCCTTCCGAGTAACCATGACCACAATTTGAAACTATGAACAGAAGTTAAATAAAAAGAAGATATATTAATAACTTTGTTGTAGTATGAAAATTGCAAATTCAAAAAAGACTTTAATTGAAAATATTACACTATGAATATAGTTTTAAATCGTGGTTGTGGTGGCAGATACACATGCAAATGTTTCTATTAAAGAAAAATGCACAAGCGGCGGCCAGAATTGTGGTTTGGTTTAAAATTGTTATATTGCAAACACAATTAGGATTGCATAAAGTAACTCATAAGAAGTATCATGTTGGTGGTTTTGTCTAGGTTGTTAAACTTTGTCAACTAGAAAATGAAGATGCAAAAAGAGAAGAATATAATGCAAGAGAGAAAGGACACACACCAGAGAAGAAATCAAAAGGTGCTTGTTGAGCATGAGCATAGAAACCAACATGTAGGGGTCCTTGCAAAGCTTCTCTCTCACCACTCATGTGAGGTAAACCATTAAAACCATACTCAACCCCACCACCATGAGCACCATGTTGGAAAGAAGCAGCATAAGGAAAAATGGATACACTATTCCCAAGTGGGGCTCCATTGAGAAAATAAGGTGGTGATGGTTCTGTCTCCATTGTTGTGGTGTCCCTGCAGACAAAGCTTGGATTTTGATCCATTCTTCTGTAAGCACTAGTTTGGTTCATTAACCTTCTTCTCCTGTATGCACTGGATTGTTCCCTGTACTTTCTTGCCATTATAACATGCCAGTGATTCTTCACAGCATTATCTGTTCTTCCTGGAAATAGTCTTGCTATCATGGCCCATTTGTTTCCGTAAATTCGATGTGCTTGCATTAGTCTCTCTTCCTCTTCTTCATTGAATGCTCTTCTGTTTATTCTTGGATCCAGTTGGTTGAACCATCTTAGCCTGCAACTCTTGCCTTCAAATACAACCAAAAAAAACTTAAGTTCATAACACAAAACCCACTTTGTTTTAAAGTATATTATGTGCACAGGGTTTTAAAAAACGGTATGTAACAGCGAAAACTGCCGCAACAAAATAGCATTAGAAGATCCGTTATTCGCCGTTTTTAAGATAAATAATTAATCGTGAATAATTCACACTGGGACGACTGCAATCACTCTTACAACATCTATACCGCAATACAACCACAAAATAACCATTAACACATACATCTATGAGCATGCAACCTAAAATATATAATTCTTCAAGATGTATACAAAGAAACAAAAGATTGTAACTATGTTTGAAAGTCACATAATGATTTTTTTTCTCATTTCAATATACCTGATCTTCCTTCTAACTTTTCAGCAATGAGATTCCAGTTCTGAGGACCATAAAGAGCAACAAGTTCCTTAAGCTTGGAATCTTCAGCAGGTCTCCAATGTCCTCTTGCACATTTACTAGACTGTCCATTATCTTCCTCTTTCCCACTTCCATTATTCTCATTAGGGTTTGTTTCCTCACTACAATAAGAGCCTTTTCCTTCCATATCATCCTCCATCACAAAACTCTTGCAACCATAACTCTCTTTGTTTGAGGTTGAAACAACACCATAGTTTGAACCAAGAGAGAGAGATCCAAGGTCTGCATAAACCATTTGCATAGAAGAAGGGTAAATAAGGGCATTTTGGTTATCTTGTGAAGAGATCATACTAGTAGCCATGACTTCATTTCACTATCTATTATTCTGACAAGACAAAAGCTATGTAACAAAAGAATATTAATAAATCTTTTTTGTTGAGACTATATAATTGTTATGTAACATGAGAAAGCAAAGTTTGACAGACAGTGTAAGATGAAGAGGAAAAGGAAGGGTAAAGAGACCTGGACAGCAAAGGTGCTTTATTTTTTTCAAGACTTTAAACAGAAACTAGAAAACTCCACAAGGTTTTTTCACTCTTTCATCACTGTCCTATATTCAACCCTTATTTACCATTAGTACTATTTAGAGGGGTAGGGGTACCAGGGGCAGCAGAGAGTGAAATTTTAATTGCTGAACCATATCAACTGACCCCATGACATGTATAGGAATATATTATATTATTTTTATGTTATCAAAATGAGAATAATTTTGTCTTATACATATCAATTTTAACATTTTTTAATGCTTTTCACTCATTTATTAAGAAAATGTATATTGAAAATTTCCTCTTGATTTAATAAATTAAATATGGATCATGTGTTCTTAGAACACATGTTAAGAATATTATAATTAAAATTTTTTAAATATAATTAAATATAATAAAGTCATATTTAAAGTTTCAAAATATTAAATATATATATTTTAAAAAAATATATTTACAAATAACTTATTAACATGTGTTCTATTCGCTTCTTTCATTAAATATTACTTATATTTTGTTTTAGAGAAATTAAACTTTTAGTTGAGATTCATGAAATGATACTAATGTAAAATAAACAAATATAACCTATTTTATATTGATTTGAAAAAATTAGTTAAAAATATTTTTGTATATTAAATGTAAAATATAAATAAAATTTATTAAACTACCACTATATTTTTAAAATTGATTGACTTGTTTTAGATTAGTACATTATGAAAATAATATTATAAAAAAATATAAAGAAATGATGTTGTTGGGTTGAATTAACAACTTAATGATTTTTTATAAATATTTTTTAAGTAAATAAAAAGTATATTAGAAATATTAGTAATAGATAATTTAAAAATTATTAGTTTTAACTCATAATAATTATTAATATTTTATGTCACTGTTTTACTTATATTAGTAATTAGAAAAAAAAATTTATCAATAAGATTCTAATATTGACAACGAATTATAACATAAGTATTTGTGAGATAAAAACAGAATCCCTTCCAATAAAATCAATCTACTTTGGTGTTTTGTTAACTATTATTGAAATATGATTAATTAATTGAACTTTTACTTGTTTTAGTTGAATATCCACATATTTCTAAAATAGATAATTTTTTTACAACCCTCTTATTTATTCTTAAAAATGATAATAACTTAAAATTTAGTAAGAAATAAAAAAAAAATTGATCATATAGCCAAATAATTTTGTTAAAATTTAAATTGAAATAGGTTATTTTTTAACTGAAATTCTTTCAGAAAATAGATATTTGAAAAATAGATGATGATAAACCTAAAGTTTTTGACATTATGTTGTTTGGAGTTATTAAGAAAAGAATTCTCTTTCTAAACCGTTTTGTAATTGTTTAAGCTGTTGCTGTCATTACATAGTTTACATATTACCATAATGATTCATTTATTTATTTATTTATGATAAGTGGTTATTTAGATGTTGAGTGACACACGTGTGAGAGTAACAGACAATGAGAAAAGTTACATCCAAATTTCACAGGTTTGCAGAGAGTCTAAGGCTGTCTCTCTCAAAAGAGTGATGAACGTGGTGGGTGTTTACGTGTGGTTGCAGCAGCAATACTAGCATAGACATCTTTCTTTTCAAATATTTTTGCAATTCCCAATTCATATTACTCACACACAACATGGCCCTGCCATGTTCTATTTTCATGTTCACTCTATCTCTATAGCTTCTTATACCTAGCTACACCTACTATTCATGAATCTATTCACCTAGTATTATTAATCCTTTTTACTGTTACTTTTTCTATCTCTATCTATTCCATTCCCTCACATCATTATCATATCTTAAGTGCGTATGTTATCGGTCTGCTATCATCTTCCACACACGTCGTAAAACAAATGCAGTCACTGCTTGCGTACATTTAAATTTAAATGAATGTCATCCAAACAAAATTGTGGAAATTTTTTTGTTTGTTTATCCTTTTTTTTTATATCATTTTGTTATCAACAAAAAGATTGTGATCAAGTTTGTTGTATGTTTACTCTCTATTTTTGTATAATACTCCTTTCGATTTTTTTATTATTATAAGTAAAAAAAATTATTTTTTAAATTTATTAAATATTGAATGTATCTAGTCTATATAAAAAATCTGATACATTTATTAATCAATAAACTTAAAAGAAATATTTATTTTTAATAATGATTAGAGAGAGTATTTATTATAATTTTTCAAATATTAATATTTAATAATTATGATGAAATTAGTATGAATTTTTTATAGATAGAAATTAAATACAATATTTTGTTAAAATTTACTAAAATGAATGATATACTTTTAGATGAGACTCGTACTAACGTTCAAGAAACAATTTTGCTTAGGTAGGAAATAGACTTACTATTATAAGAGTTTAATAGTCCTATGTATTGGCATATGTATTGGCAGTATAAAATTATTGTAAATCGTCGTTCAATAATAAATCAACAATATATCATGTCATTTAAATAATTTTAGAATATAAAATTAATTTGATAGAATACATGATATTCATTGGTTGACAGTGTAAATTTTTTTTATATTGTCGACGCATCTCATAATTTTTCCTATTATAATCAGTGTTGAACTGTAAAACTAAGAGAAAACATTGAATATCTAAAAACTGCTCTGCAGTATTGGTTTATTCATTTATATCTCAATCATTCAAATACAACCAGAATTACTATATATGAGTTATCCAAAACAGTTAAGAGAATCCTAACTGAATGATACAACTGACATAACTAATCTATATTAGCCCAATTACACATAAAAGCTTGAGATAAGATAAATTGCTTTTGTAAAATATTAATATAGAAAAATACTTCTAATACTCCCCCACAAGATCAAAGTGGTGGATTTATCATCACTTTTAGCTTGTTCCTAAGATCCTGAAAAACTGCACTTGATAAAGGTTTTATCATGATGTCTGCTAGCTGGGCAGAGGCAGGCACATGTTGAATCTTGAATTTGTTTGCCATAACTTTTCCTCGAACAAAATGTAGATTCAGTTCAATGTGCTTTGTCTTGGCATGTAGAATGGGATTAAGAGACAACATAACAACACTAAGGTTGTCACAAAGAAGAGTTGGAGAAAAGTGTTTAATCTTTAGCTCAGCTAAGAGAGACTCTATCCAAAGCAACTCAGATGTGGTGTGTGCTAGAGCCCTATATTCTGCTTCAACAATTGATTTGGCCACTAAGGTATGTTTCTTTGAGCTCCAAGAAATGAGATTAGGACCAATGAAGATACATGTTCCAGATGTGGACCTCCTATCATCTGGGTCACTGGCCTAGTCAAAATCACTATGTGCCCTTAAGGATAGCTGCTGATTGGGATTTGCAAGAGAAAGAAGTAACCCAATAATAGATGTGCCACTGAGATACTTGAGGATTCTCTTTACTATACTCCAATGATTGTCAAGGGGATTTGACAAGAGCCGGTAAGCTTTATTTACATTGTACGCAATGTCGGTCTGGTGAGTATGACATACTGAAGAGCGCCCACCGCAGATCTATATTGAAGAGGTTCCTGCATACAATCACTCCCAAAATTTCTAGGCTTACATTGACTAATCATAGGAGAAGGTACACCATTAGCAGTCTCCATGTTGACTCAGCTAAGAAAATCTCTAATGTATTTAGTTTGAGTAAGAATGGGAGATCTATTTGACTAATACTTTACCTCCAGACTCAGAAAATATCCAAGTCTCCTAAGCTTTTTGAGAGAAAATTGACCATGAAACTTGTTGATCACTTTATGAATCAGAGTAGATGAGGACCCTGTTATAAGAATACCGTCTACATAAACTAGTATGTATAGGGTGATGCCTTGATGAATGTGTGTAAATAATGAGTGGTCACATCATTTGGCTGTGAAGTTAAATTGAATTAAGGTTTGATTTTGTTTCTCATACTAGGACATGGTGCCTATTTAAGACCATAAAGTGCCATATTCAGCTGAGAAAAATGGAAAGGGTAAAAATTTAACTGTACTTTTGAATTTTCTTTTGCAGGGTGCTGGATTATAATAGAATAAGGAAATTTTGTCTCATTAAAGATACTATCCTTGGAGATGTATATATTTCCCTCTTTACTAAGACTTTTATGTCCTTTGTGATGTGGGGAGATTCCAAGGTATATACACTTAACACTTCTCAATTGAAGCTTGTTTTTGTTGTAAGGTCTTAAATGAGGAAAACTAGAACAACCAAAAGTTTTAATGGTAGTATAGTCAGGAAGACGATTATAGAGGGCGTGAAAGGGAGAAGTTAATTTGGTAGGGTAGGTGTAGGAAACTTGTTTATCAAATGAACAACAGTGGTAAAGCTATGGTCCCAATATTCTATAGGAAGATTAACATGAGCTAGAAGTGTCAGTCTCATTTCCATAATATTTCTATGTTTTCTTTCTACAGTTCCATTTTGATGAGAAGTATGAGGGCATGTTAACCTATGAACTATACCTAACTCGTTGAGATAACTAGTGAAGGGTCTAAACTCTTCCCCAAAATCAGATTGTACAACTTTAATTGTGCTTTGAAACTGAGTTTTGACATAAGTTAAAAACTGCTTAAAAACTCCTAATGCTTCAAACTTTTGTTTCAAAAAATAGACCCATGTGTATTTAGTGAATATGTCTACAAAGGCTATGTAGTATGAATAGCCTTAACTTGAAGGATTAGGGGAGGGTCCCCATAAATCGGTATGAATAAGTTCAAATGGGGAGGTATATAGCATATGAGTTAAAGGTGCATACAATATATGAGACTTGCCTACACAACATGAACTACAGAACTCAATAAATCTTTATTATTC